CATACAATACCTTAAAATTCTCATTTTTGACAAGCAACCACATTTCATGTTCATAGTATCACTCCCTTTTACTTGCCATGGGTGGCTGTATAACATTTAAAACATTTCGGAACACTATAGACTCTACTCATGAGGACGTAAGAGCTTATGACACATTGAAAACATTTACAAGGAAGTTATACTCATTTTATTTGAAACATAAATTGGAGTCATAGACATTCGTTAAATCAACTTCACGTGAAGTATCTTTATGGGAGTGAATGAGGATAAAAATTGAAACAAGACTTAATTATATTGGCATATGATAAATCATGTGTTCAAGACAATCTAACATGATAAGAATTGGTACTCTGGGCAACCGTACTCGGAGTTCACAATGAGATCATGAAATCTGATTTTATGGAGGGAGTTTAGACAACATACCTTGCTTAAACTTCCCTTAGATTACTACAACGTCCCAACGCTTCTAGCAATTTCAATCAACTAGAGATATGACAAAATTAAATCATAATTAGGAAGAGATTCATAGTTTCAGCTCACCTAGGCATTTCATCAAGCACTAGGTGTGCAAATTTCACTACAAGGTTTCTATGGTGGAATCCCTTCATCCCACAACAAATCATTCACCCAATTTAGTTCAACAACCTCCTTACCACCCATGCATGCACAAAGACACAACTCCCACACCTAAGAATTATACTTCTCATTACCTACTTTTAGTCCAAATCCTGAAATTTAGGGCTAGGGAGAAGAACTTTACCTCTTAAATGAAGATCTTGTGATTTCCTCCCTTGAATCCCAAAGCTTAAGCAAGAATTTGAAGCATGAAGATATTGGTTCCTTTCCTTCTCTCTCTAGATTTCTTTTCCTCTCCCTAAAATATCAGATTTTTTTGCTCCCAAATGGCCCCCTTATGCCTTTTTATTAAAATAGGGTCAGATTAGAAAATCTTCAAAAATAACTTCCGAAGTCAATTTTGTGGTGCAATTCCGTGATAGCAGAATAGATATGTGGCCAGCAGAATGGTCACAAAATGGTATGTTAATTTCGCGATGCTATTTTGCGATAGCAGAATGGTTATGCGGCCAATAGAACGGTCACAAAATGGTTTTCACAAAATGGTATGTCAATTTTGCGATGCAATTTCGCTGTAGCAGAATGATTATGCGGCCAGTAGAATGGCCACAAAATGGTTTTCAAATTTGAGTTGCTTCTGATTCATTCTGTGGTGATTTTCTGGTCAGCGGAACAGATCATCTATAGCATAATGGGCCACATAATCGTCGTTTTTTGCAAATTCTTCTACCAACTCCACTATCTATTGCACAATCCAAAAATTCGTGTTGTGGCACATTAGCTTACCTTTGCACCATAAAACTTAAATTCTTGGCAAAATTGTACAGGACTTTACATCCTGCCCTGCTTAGGATCATTCATCCTAGAATGAGGGTTAGGGTCCGCCACAAAATACCCAATATGACTTAGCTCTTTATTCCCAGAAATTTTGGTAGAATTTCCCATGTAATTGAGCCTATCCACGTGTTAGAGAATCCCATAAATCAATCCTAATAACATATAGATAACACCACACTGCACCATAGACATAAAAACAACACCAACTATGATATAGTAGGCATTATATTACCAAAATGGGGCATTTGCATAAACTGTACAAGTTTGAACATAACTTATAGAAAGTAAACTCCTAACATTCTTTTAACACGCAACAATTTCATGATGATCTTGACTTCTAAAAGTTAACTGAGAGATCCTCCAGGGCTAGCTGGCTCATGATTCTAAATCCGGTGGATAATGGGTCCATCTCACTAAAATTGCCACTTTGGATATGGTGCATCCTTAAATGCTTTGTTCCAAAAAAACATGGTTTTCTTCTATAATCCACAATTATGCATGATATTTTGAATCCGATCATGTCTCTTGAGTCTATTTCAGAGCTCAAGAGGTGCAAAAGTGTATTTAGGGAACTCTATGAACTTTTACTGCATATAGTAGATCGTGGATATGCATGCCATATTTGGTCTTGGAAGGGAAGGTATTGCAAGTGCCAGATTGGGTTGCTTGGGATGTAAATGTCAAAAATGTATTCATCAGTCCGGCACTCTGAACTAGTGATTTGAGTTTCTAAAAGTTAGCTTAATAATTAATTAGTAATATTATTTTGGAACATGGAATTAATCTTACTCATTGAACCAGCGGTAGCTAAGATTGTTTTAACTTTTTGTACATCATTATTCTGGTTTTACCATCTTCAGATGGCTCAAAAGTTAGCTACTAGAGAAGCTATATAGTAATAACTACTCAGCATTGATTATTACTTTTGAAGTTAATTATTAAGTTGATTGAGCTTAAGGTTGGAAGTGGAAGAAGAGGTTGGTTTACATGCATTAGTTAAGGAAGAACAGAAGTGGTTTTGGTTGTAATTAAAAAAACAATAGAGTGTAGTATGCATATTGAGAAGCGCGAAATTCCTTAAAAGGTAGTGTAGTAAGTTAGGTTCTTCAGGTCAATTTTTCATATATATATATATAGAGAGAAGTATGTGATGCTTTGGGAACTTGACGAATTTCAAGGAAAAGATTGATGAATTAATTGGCTAGAAGAGTTCTGTCCAATATATACTGGATGCATGCATGTTCCCTCACACTTGTGCTTTGCATTGTGACATTTGCGGAACAAATTAAATGGTGAGACACACTTGAACACTTTCCTGATCGATGAAGCATGCACCAATATAATTAATGTTTTTTTTTTTGGAAATCAATTTTAAAGATCACCTTTTTAACCATTACCTTAATATATCCTTCTTTTAGTTCCTATTCAAGCAGCAACAGCAGCAGAACGAGCAGTCGGGGAAGGGATTTACATAATCATTAGCAGATATTATGAAATTACAGAACATGACAAGTTCACACAGATCTTCTCACTTGAAATTATGGACTTACATATCCAGCTCACGTGAATCACATTTCAGACTTTATATTTTTTGCACTACGAAGGGGAGCCTTGGCGTAACTGGTAAAATTGTTGTCATGTGACCAGGAAGTTACTAGTTCGAGCCGTGGAAACAGTTGGGTAAGGATGCGTACAATACACCCTTGTGGTCCGGCCCTTTCCCGGATCCCCGCATAGCGAAAACTTAGTGCACCGGCGTGCCCTTTATATTTTTTGCACAACTTTAAGTCTCTTCAGCACTGGCAAAATCATGCACAGACCACAAAATTAATGGTTTCCCCTTTCAGATCCCTTTAATAATAAAGAGAAAGACCAGAAAAGAATAGGAAAAAAACTTCATATCTTTCACAATTCATTCCTGTAAAAAGAAATGGAAATTGGAATCTCAGATAAAACATAATTAGCATCAATCCAAATAGCTCATCTGTTTGTTAGATTTTGCTGAAATAGAGTAAAGAAACTTCCTAAAAACTAAAATTTGTCATATCTTAATTACTTTCCTTAAATCACTCTAGAATTGAGTATGTTCTTATGTTTGTAAAACCTAAAGTATATTTTAAAAGTTTAAACAAGTCATGATTCTACTATCCAAAAGAAGTCAGTACAAATACATGAAGGAATAACTTGTACGGGAAATTTACATATACTAAAATATTTTGGAAATTTCGTTTTGTTAACAAATATTCAGCAAATTACATTCTCTAAATTTCAGACGGAGGCTAATCTAACCATGGTTAAAAATTAACCACATGGTTAGGGCGTAACCTCCAAAATAACAAAATATAAATGGCCTGGCTACAAAGAAATTGCTTTCAACTCTGTTATTTTGAAATAAAATAATTCATATATATTTGCAAATTCCTCTAGGGTTAAAATTATTGTTGGGAGATTCGACGGGCGAGTGACTTTATGCTGTTCAGATTATTGGGTTGATACGTATATTTTTATCTGATCAAGTTATAGTGTGTTATGCTGTAAATATTTTCTGCATTGTTTTTTCTCCTCTTTTTTTCCCCCTTCTTTTGTTCTTTTGTGTTTCAAGCTGAGGTGACTTGGAATTTAGGGTTTTATAAGCTTTCTAATTTCATGAACCTTATATGTTGTTGCTCCTTTAAATTTGTTGGTTTGATGTATCTATTGCTTCATAGTTGATTTGTCGAGAGAGAGAGAGAGAGAGAGAAGACGAGAGATTAGTTTTCATGCCAATATGGGTTGGTTTCCGTAAGTTTGTTAATGCAGTATGTGAATTTCTTGTTGGTTCTTCATGCACCTTTTATTAGACCATAGGTGGAATTAAATTGCAGAATTGGAAAATGGAGTTAATAATATTTAGGAACTTGGGTTCAAAGTAGATGCATTTATTTGGTGGCGAGTAATGTGAGAGATTTTTTGTTATTACTTTGCATCTGTTCTATCATTTTAACTGTTTTGTCGGTTTCTTTGATTTGGCTTCCCCTTAAACCCGTAATTTAGGGATAAGTTTTAATATTCGGTTTATATCAATCATTGACTGGATAATGCAAAAGTTTTTGGAATTCATAAATAGGAAAGATATATTCATCTTTGTTAGTCTCTTATGGTGTTTGCCAGCAGCTTCCACAAGCCATATGCAGTTTGCTAAGTGATGAATTAAATTTGGGTTTCACAGATTTGGAATTATACACTTGTGATAAAGTTCATATAATACACATCATTGAGTCATGTTCGTAGCAATCAATCAACAGTTTGAGTCTTAAGGCAAATGGAGTGTAATAAAGATGAAGCCATTAGGGCCAAAGAAATTGACCGAGCAGATGTTAAGCAACAAGGACATTGATGGAGCTCAAAAATTCGCTATGAAGACTCAAAACCTTTTCCCAGGCGTTGATGGCCTTTCTCACTTCATATTTATGTAGCTTCGGAAAAGAAAATAAATGGTGAAGTTGATCTCTATGGAATCCTTTCTGTAGATCCCTCTGCTGATGTTGAAACAATAAGAAAACATTACAGAAGGCTTGCTCTAGCTCTTCACCCTGATAAAAACAAATCCGTAGGAGGCGGATGGGGCATTTAAGATTCTCTCTGAAGTCTGAAGCATGGAATTTGTTGTCTGACCGAGCTAAAAGGATGACTTATGACCAGAAACACGCTATGAGGAATGTTGGCGTTGGAAATCCATCAATGCGAGGCAGGTCAAATGGTTTTCATAATTTCACTATCGATCCAGCAAGGGCAAGAAATTCAACTACTGCTAATTTCCACCCTGTCCCCGTGGCTTCTCAGCCATCAAAACCTGCTACATTCTGGACCTCTTGCGATCGATGTTCGATTAAATATGAATATTGGAAAGTTCACCTCAACAGAGTTCTTGTCTGCCCCAACTGTCACCAGCCATTTTGGGCTAAGGAGCTAGGTGCTCCTCCTGTAAATGGACATGCATCATCTAATACAGGGCCTTTCTTCCAGCAGCAGCAGCAGGGTACAAATTGTCATGCTGCTAATGGATCGTCTGCTTCAGCTTTCAATATGGGGATACCTGGACATTCTGGCTTTGGCTCAAACATAGGAGCAAACAGTCAGCAGGCTCAGGATTTTAAGTTAAGAGGTTGTAATGGGGTGCCCCCCTATGCTGCTTCCCCTACGCACGTTACATCCAATGGCCACCCGGCTGGTCAATTCTTGGAAGAGAGTACATGAATAAGCAGCTGTAAATACACCAAACATGGAGGATTTTCCTCAGAAAATTAATAAAACTTATACTGGTTTTTACCCTAATTTGGGTTCCCATTCTGCACAAGCTGACAGGGTAAAGAAAAAGAGACACATAAATGAGCAGAAAGCAACTAGTAAAAGAAGAGCAACGATGAATCAATTGGTAGGAAAAGCTAGATCTGGCAGCCATGGAATCGTGCATGGAAATGAGAATGGTGTTTTGAGAGCTGAGCGAGTTGTTGTTGTGGGTAGCAATAAGCCTCAGAGTTCAAGAGAGTTGTCTCAGTCAGAAGTTCGCAATATGCTGGTGGAGAAGGCTAGGACGGAGATCTGCAAGAAGCTGAATGAATGGAGCACAACTTCTGCATCTAGGATGTCATATAAGGAGGACAAGGAAACAGAAAAGAAGCAAACTGCTGCTGCCCATACTGCACAAGGATTTCACAAAAATGATTTGAGAAGAGAGGAAACTGTGAATGGTGTATTAGTGAACTCCAGCAAATCATGCAAGCACAAAGAGTCTAGTGTCGTCTCTACTACAAGTGTTGATTCAGAACCAGAAGATACTGAAATTAAGTCTATGAGGGTTCCTGATTCAGATTTTCGAAATTTTGACGAGGATAGAACGGAGAAATTATTTGAAGATAATCAAGTTTGGGCTGCTTATGATAATGATGATGGCATGCCCCATTATTATGCTCTGATTCACAATGTCATAAGTAGAAAGCCATTTAAAGTGCGAATCAGCTGGTAGACCTCTAAAAACAACTCTGAATTTGGGCCAATTAACTGGGTTGGTTCTGGGTTTCTGAAAACAAGTGGAAACTTCAGAATAGGCAAGCATGAAATTAATAAGACACTCAATTCTTTCTCCCACATAGTTAAGTGGACAAAAGGAACCAGAGGCGTTCTCCAAATTTTCCCAGGAAGGGGGATGTAATGTTATGAACTCAACAAAACGATACCTTGATTAAACTTCCAAATAAACTGATTACAATAGAAATGCAAAGGATATAGTCATGAACTAAGGAAATAGTAGTAGAAAGAAAGGAGATGAGGAGACAGAGCCACAGAGAGAAATAGACGAGGAAGAGAGAGACCATGAGAGGGGAGTTTTCCAGATAACAATTCGCCTTACCGTATACTTGCACGAATTGGTAATTATAGTAACTATATTCCTTCTTGTCCAGTAATTCCTTGACACATGTACCTCTAACCTGGGTCCCAGTTGCAGCCCAATAACCTCTTGTTGGGCTATTTCACATCCTGACTCGTGTGCAACCCACTCCCTGGCACAAGTACTTCATTTTGGTTTAGCCCTTTCATAACAGTGGGCTCTGTATAGGAATTGGTTTCCCGAATGGAACGAGCAAACTCAGGATGATGTGATCCACAAATATGATATGGTGGAAGTGCTTGAAGACTACAGTGAGGACGAAGGTGTCAGAGTTGCTCCATTAGCCAAAGTAGCTGGCTTCAAGTCAGTAATCCATCAGCATCAAGACCCTAAACTGATGATGTCCATCTCATTGAAGAAGTATTAGGCATGTGCCTAATAAGAGTTTTCTT